GGCACTCAGTATAGTGTGTAGGAAGAGCTTGAACATGGGAGATACCAGATGTGCTTAAAGCAGCAGACATAGCCCCTCTACACAAGGGAGGTAGCAAAGCATTGGCAAAGAATTATAGACCAGTTGCACTAACGTCCCACATAATAAAAGCATTTGAGAGAGCAATCAGGAGTCAGGTCACTAGATTCATGGAAACCAATGACCTCCACAATCCAGGCCAACATGGATTTAGAGCAGGAAGATCATGCCTCTCACAGCTACTTGACCATTATGACAATCACTGAGGCATGAGAAGAAAAACAATGCAGATGTTGTATACACAGATTTTGCAAAGGCATTCGACAAATGTGACCATGGAGTGATTACACACAAAATGAGGTCAATGGGTATAACTGGTGAAGTAGGAAGCTGGATACTCAATTTCCTGCCGAACAGAACACAAAGAGTAACAGTCAATCAAGTAAAATCGAGTCCGAGCACAGTTAAAAGCTCTGTACCTCAAGGTACAGTCCTTGCACCACTGCTGTTCCTTATTCTCATATCAGATATAGACAAAAATACAAGTCACTGCTTCGTGTCATCCTTTGCAGATGATACAAAAATCAACATGAAAATTACCTCAGATGAAGACATTGAAAAACTACAGACAGACATTAACAAAGTTTTCAATTGGGCAGCAGAAAATAACACGATGTTTAACGGTGATAAATTCCAGGTACTCAGAATAGCAAAAATGAGGCTCTGAAACATAATTCAAGGTACAAACCACAATCAAATCTGCCCATAGTAGGAAAACAGCTTGTCAAGGATTTGGGAATAATGATGTCCAACGACCTAACGTTTAGGGAGCATAACCAAGCAAGTATTGCGTCAGCCAGAAAAAGGATAGGATGGATTACGAGAACCTTCAAGTCCAGAGATCCCATCACAATGTTTGTACAGTACTCTTCAAATCACTTGTGTTGTCCCGTCTTGAGTACTGCTCAGTACTCACTTTCCCCTTCAGAGCAGGAGAGATTGCTGAAATAGAGGGAATACAGAGAACATATACGACACGCATAGACGAGATAAAGCACCTAAATTATTGGGATCGTCTAAAAGCTCTCCAAATGTACTCACTAGAAAGGAGACGAGAGAGATACCAAATAATATACACATGAAAAATACTGGAGGGACAGGTCCCAAATCTGCACAGTAAAATAACAACATACTGGAGTGAACGACATGGAAGAAAATGCAGAATAGAACCAGTGAAGAGCAGAGGTGCCATAGGCACAATCAGAGAACACTGTATGAACATCAGGGGTCCGCGGTTGTTCAACACCCTCCCAGCGAGCATCAGAAATATTGCCGGAACAACCGTGGACATCTTCAAGAGGAAACTAGATTGTTTTCTTCCAGGAGTGCCGGACCAGCCGGGCTGTGGTGGGTATGTGGGCCTGAGGGCCGCTCCAAGCAACAGCCTGGTGGACCAAACTCTCACAAGTCAAGTCTGGCCTCGGGCTGGGCTTGGGGAGTAGAAGAACTCCCAGAACCCCATCAAGCAGGTATCAGTCTATGCAACTGGTCTTTCTGATGTGGGTTTATCACCACTTGTATGGTGATCAGGTGGGTCTATGTGGGTTGTCTTTGGTTTCAGGTTGAGTTCTTTTGTCCTTTCTCTCTCTTGACTGTTTCAGGACTTTCGTCTTATGTCGAATACTGTTGCCTTATATCGTACAGCGCTGGCAGACACACTCCTGCTTGCGTTTGGGGTTTATATTACTTCTGCTCTGTTTCACAAGCTGTCTTGTGCGTTGTTTCACCTCCGGCCTGCTCATGCGCCGACTGAGCTGCCCTGGTCGTTGCACCGGGTGCTCTGATTTCTCTCTTCTCCTCGGTTTGTGGTGGCCCCATTGGTTCAGAATTGTTTTGATAAGCCTCTTTTCTTGTTGGCATTGGCCACTGGAGGTAGATCTGGACGCTTCATTCTCTCCTCCGGTTCAGGGGTTTCTGTTTTTGAGCCTGGTGGTAGGTTTGTTCGTTTGCAGCCATATCCCTCTTTTCTGGCAAAGAACGTGACTGCCGCTTTCCAGAGACTTCCTTGGGTTGTTGATGCTTGGTTCATTCAGCCTGGGGTGCATTGTGCATTATGTCTGGTTACAGCTCTTTGCCGTTATTTGTGCACTACGGCCTCGGTGGCTGGGACGCCCTTTGGGTTGCCCAATTTCCCTTCTTCCTTGTTCCAGGGCTCGGGTCTCCCAGGTCCTCCCCGCAGGGTTATTCGGTCCAGCCAACCTGCGGTCTATCCTCATGTCCAAGATGTTCGCAAGTTTGCTGCTATAGCTGTCTTTTTAGTAATATGTCTTGGGCTGATATTTGGGCATAGGGATTTTGGAGGTCGAAAAGGGTCCTGGCCACCCATTACCTCGTTAATGTCCTGGCCCTAGTTGGGCGAGTGTCGCTTTGGGTCGCAGGTTGCAGCCAGTTGTCTCTACTTGGAGTTTAGGTGCAAGTGGTGGCTGCCACCCAGGTAAGTCCCTCTTTTCCTTTTACTGTGGATAGATAGCTTCAGGGAGCCGGAAGGGCTCTCCACAGAAACCCAGCATTGAATGTAATGAAATGCCATTTTCTGGCCAAATCCCAGAGACTCCCTCTGCATCCCTCCCACTCTCCACTGCACGGTTTCTATAGGCTATTGCTCTGAGGGAGGGGGGGGCCAGGTTCTGGCTTTTAGTCCCTGGTATGCTGAACTCCTTAGACTGTCCCGGTCTAATGATTCACATATTAGCCTGATAGCTCCAGGGAGCCTCCGGGGACTTGCCCAGAAAATGGCGTTTCATGACATTCAATGCTGTTTTTTTATTAATATTAATTTATAAACCTAACACTAAAATTTCTGTACATGAGCTTAGCAAGGTAAGTTTTGATTACCAGCAAATGCTTCACTGGTTGATTGCCCTTTGCATTCTAGTAAGCATATGTCTTCAGATGTAATTCAGTAATGAAGTTAAAACTCCCAATAACCTGGATTTCTGTCAAATTTGGCAAAGTTAAGGAGACAAATACTTACTTGATTTAGGCCAGACTACTCAAAGAACTGGATTAATTGGGAGCAGATTAGTGATCTTTTACAGAACGAATGACACTTACCTGCATTTGGAAATATATTTTTTCCTTTCTATTGTATACTGCATTACTTGCTCATGTTGAAGTAATGCAGGAAGCAAAACCAAAAAAGGTTCCACTTTTTTCTGAAAATAGATACATATTAATTTGCATGAAAACCATAAATATTTGTGTATTTTGTGAAAATTTACATCAGGTCTTCTGCACTCTCCTGAGTGCTTTATCTACTAGGTCTGAGTATATAGCAAGATAATTTTATTTAGGTAAAATACATACATACACAATGAGTTACAGAATGCTGGATTTCTATATAAAGCAGTATATAATATATGTCTAAAGCCACTAGAACGCACAGCGTTTTGGGCGTTGAGCACAAGGACCAGCGTTTTGGATAAGGACGAGACTTACAACTCGACAACTAATACTGTACTAGTATTACTCATCAATAATTTATCAAGCACCTTAACCCTTCAATTGCGCATCACATCATATGATGCTTTGACCGACTTGCAGTAAATTGCGCATCGCATCATGTGATGCTTTGGAGTACTACGCAAGATTTAAACGGCCCGCGGATACACGGGGTTCACCACACCTTCATCAGGGCTCTTTTAAACAATCGCCATTTTTTTTTTAAATCGTGGGCCAAACTCCCGGGTGTTAGGGACCTCAGTATTGAGTGAGCAACCAAGCCTGACGCACGCAGCTTGAACTCACAGCACTGCTGTTCAGCTTGTGACCACAGCATCGCCTAAAAATGCCATAATATTCTTGTTCATGCTATTATGTAGCGATGATATTATTACAGAAGACCCCTGACTGTGATAAAACTGACCAGGGTTCTGATAATAGCAGGATTGTGGTGATATTTAGCGCTGTGCGCCATGGAGGGAGGAGTAATGCTGTGGGAGGGGAGGGTAGTGGCATTTTCTTCTGTGTGGCCACCTTTTATTGAATGCACTCACCATACCAGCTTAGTGGTATGGTGAGTGCACACAGTCAGCTGGCGGCTTCTTCCCTCACACATTCAAGGTCAAACGCACTAAAATTTCACCCTCAACAATACTGTTTGTGGTGTTATTACCCTATATACAGACATTATATATAAGTATCTACATGTTTTGTTCACCATAACTGTTCAACTAAGCTGATATAATGCCCAAAGAGAATAGTGGCCACCCCTACCAACATGACAAATCATGCAGATGTTGCCACACCCATCACCAAAATGTCTTCTCACCCACACTCCTTTTGCTGTTATTACACTATATATACACGTTATATATAAGTATCTACATTCGTGTTCACCATAACGAACCACTAAGTTGGTATGCTGAGTGGCAGTGGCAGCCAGTGGCAGCCTGCCACTGGCTGCCACTCCCTCCCTCACCTCACTCGCCACCATTCTCCTCCCACCATACTGTTTTTGCTTTTATATACAGATGTTATATATAAGTATCTGCATGTTTTGTTTACCATAGTGAACAACTAAGCTGGTATAGTGAGTCCAGACAGTAAAAGGTGGTCACAAAGAGTCAGCAGACAATGCTACCTCCCTCACCACCAAGATTACTCCTCCCACTACAGCGCTAATTATCACAACAATCCTGCTGTTATCAGAATCCTGGTCATTTTTATCACAGTCAGGGGTCTTCTGTAATAATATCATTGCTAGATAATAGCATGAACATGTATATTATGGCATATTTAGGTGATGCTGTGGTCACAAGCTGAACAGCAGTGCTGTGAGCTCATGCTGCGTGCGTCAGGCTTGGTGGCTCACTCAATACTGAGGCCTCTCACACCCGGGAATTTGGCCTACGATTTTGTTTAAAAACAGTGTCTGTTTACAAGAGCCCTGATGAAGGTGTGGTGAACCCCGTGTATCCGTGGGCCGTTTTAAATCTTGCGTAGTACTCCAATACATCATATGATGGGATGTGCAATTTACAGCAAGTCACTCAACCCATCATATGATGTGTTGCGCAACTTAAGGGTTAAAGGTTAGAGTTTATGAAAGTTAACATAAAAATCACGAATATCTCATTGAAGAATAGACAGACAAAAATAAAGAGAGAACAGAAGCAGAGATAACAAGGGAGAAACAAAGGCAAAGAACAACACAGTAGACTAAGTAAGACCAGGATCAGTGAAATTGGGGTTACGGGGTATAGGCAAAGCAAGCAAAGACAATGGAGTCAAGGGAGCAGGAGGATGAATCATGTCAGCAATTACTCCAGCTTTAAATAGGGTTGTTTGCAACAATATTCCACTCTAGAGACTATATGTTTAATAACTACATACCTCATATTTCTTCAGTCTTTCCTTCAGACTATGCTCCAGTTGTTTGTGTTCCTTCACTGTCTCCTGCAAAAGGGTTCTTAATCTTTGATCAGTGAATTGGGGTTATGGGGTATAGGCAAAGCATGCAGAGACAATGGAGTCAAGGAAGCAGGAGGATGGATCGGGTCAACAAATAATGGATCAAGTCAGCAAGCTTTGAATAGGGCTGTTAGTTTGCAACAATATTCCACTCTAGAGACTACAATATGTTTATTAACTACATACCTCATATTCTTTTAATTTTTTCATGAGATCTTCGATCTCAACTTTTTGTTCTTGATTTTCCTTTTTAAGATCTTCGATCTCTTCTCTACCCCACACCTTCCCTTCAATTATTATTGAAGGTGAAGGTGTGAGGGAGTCTACATCTTCCCGATACTCCGGGACTATCTCTGATATATCTCCGGTGGTCCTATGGAGAGAGCAAAAGGCCATTAGTGAAACAGAGATGAATCCGAAATATTTTCTCTTATGCAAAATCTAGATTAAAAAAGTGTTGAATGCAATGAAATGCCAGTTTCTGGATGAGCCCCAGAGGCTCCCTGAAACTATCATACACTGATTAATGCCATATTACTCGGTGCCATTAGTCGCAAAGTTCTATTGGTCTACAGAGGGATACAAGCCAGAACCAGGTCTCAAGAGGCAAAAGGAGTGATGGCCTTTGAACACTTCAATGTAAAGTTATTTATACTTGCCACCAACTGGGGAAGGAACCCAGAAAGAGGCAAACCAAAAGACTGCATGGTTAAAACTAAAGACCACAGCCTGAAAATTGCCAAAATGAACCAGCGTTGAATGTAATGAAATGTCATTTTCTGGGCGAGTCCCGGAGGCTCCTCGTAGCTTACTGGACTGATATGTTTCTAGACCATTTTGATTGAAGTTCTTGTGTACCAGGGACCACAAGCAAGAACCTAGCCCCCTCAGAGAGGCACGAGGAGCAATGGCCTATAGAAACCCCCATGTGGTTAGAGGCATTCCATGTGTGCCAATGACCGGGTTAGGCACCCAGAAAGGTAGGCGTCCCAAAAGAAACCTGGTTAAAAATTGCTACCGAAAGCCAAATTATCAAGCAGAACTCCCCAATCTGAAAATGAGCAAACAAGCATGACATCATTACTGTCGTTGTCTGTGCAGCTCCCCCCCTCCCCAAGAGGGGGAAGGGAGAGCCCCAGACCCCCGTGCTGGTCATGCCACCCCAGTTCAGAGGTTGAATATAAAAAAACGTGAATATCTCCGACCGGAAGATTGCCGAAGAACCTCCAGGATTCGCCCAGAAAATGGCGTTTCATTACATTCAACGCTGGTTTCCTGTGGATAGCTCCTCTGGCTCCCTGGAGCTACCTAACCACAGAAAAGGAAAAGAGAGACGTACCTGGGAGGCTGCCGCCATTCACACCAACTCGAAGTTGAGACCACTAGCTGCAACCTGCGACCCATAGCGACACACGCCTGACTAGGACCAGGAACACAAACGAGGTAACGGGCGGCCAGGACCCTGTCCGACCTCCAAAATCCTCGCGCCCAAATGTCAACTCAAGACATATCACCCAAAAAGCAGCAGCTAGAGCAGCAAATTAGCGAACGTCATGGATTCGAGGATAGACCGCAGGCTGGCTGGAATGAATAACCCTGCAGATGACCTGGGAGACCCGAACCCACAAACAGTGGAGGAAACAGAGAACTCTTAGCATATCCCCGGCCACAGAGGCCATGGCGCACGAATAATGGTGAAGAGCCGCAACCGGACACAAAACATGGTGCACTCCCTGGCCAAACCAACCAAGCATCAACCCAACAGCCCTTACGGAAAGCCACCGTTCCATTCTTCGCCAGAAAAGAGGGAGACTGCTGAAAATGAACAAACCTACCACCAGGACAGAAAGAGCAGAAAACCGTGCATGGGAAGAGAGCATGAAGCTTCCCAACCTGACCCCCAGAAGCTAATGCCAACAGGAAAAAGAGCCTGAGAGAAACAATCCAGAACTGAAGGAGCCACAACAAACCAAGGAGAAAAGAGAGCACCCAGTCCAAAGACCAGGACAACTCAGATGGTGCATGAGCAGGCCGAAGGTGCACAGTGCATAATGCTTGCGGAACGGAGCGGAAGTAACAACCCTCAGAATGCAAGCAAAAGCGGCTCTGCCAACACCACACGATTTGAGGCAACAGTATTCAGCATCAAAAGACAGTTTCTGAAAAAGTCGAGAGAAAGGACAAAACAACCAGATCCGAAATAGATGACAATCTACGAAGGGAGAGAACCCGGCAGAAAGAACACCAGGAAATTTCATACTGTCGCCGAGACGAAACTCGCAAGTGGGACACCATCTGTGAAGCCACCTGATCACCATGCAAGTGGTGATAAACCAGGTCAGAAAGACACAAAGAGCAGAGAAGACCGAACCAGCCACGTACCATACTGGTCCAATCTGCTGAAAGAGGTGGAACTGCAGGAAACTTCGCGGGTTCGAACACTGAACAAGCAGCGCCTGAAACCAAAGCTGGGTCAGCCACCAAGGGGCCAACAGGACTACTCTTCTCTGGGACGGCTCTAAAAGAGCCAGAAGTCACTAAGAGACCAGCACCAAAGAGCCAAGGACCGAAGAGAACCCACACGGGTCAGGCAAGGAACCACCGGAGTACAGTCCAAATGGAGCCTGATCATCGAAACCCGAGCGACCCGCACCCTCTGAAGTGACAGCCAAACAGGCGCGAACTGTGTTGTGAGCCCTACTGAAGGACGGAGCCCACTGCTCCTGGCCGGCCTGGTGAGCACTGGTCACAAAGCCCCAGCCAAGAGACAAGGCATCCATAAACACTTTGAGCGAGGGCTCAGGTAGGATATTCGTTTGCCTTGTTCGGGTAGAAGGTAGACACAGTAGTCGCTTCTGTATATATTTATTGACTGAGATAGCAAGGTATATATCTGCCTAGCCGAGGTCCTTCTACTCTGAGCCTGTGAGGATAACTGAGGCTGCTGGGAGCATGGCTGATGCTCCTCTGTCTGGCATGACGTCGGAGGCCTACTTGCCTGCGATTGGTTACATTTCAACTGACAGAATTTGAGTATAACAAGGAGCCACGGCACTGAACACCGAAAAACACAGAGAAAGCTGGCGATGCTGCAACCAACGCAAGGCCTCCAGAGGCCGAACCCAACAATCATGAGAGAGGTGTAAGGGAGATCCCTGAAGGAACCAGAACAGCTGCTGAAGCCAAACCCGACCCGGCGGGTAAACAAGCACAGCGAAGTTCAGACGTCTGCACAGCTGCTCAAACAACCACTGAGGGACCTGGGGGCCCTCCAGAAACAAAGGCGGGACTGCAGCCACAGCAACAACACCAGAGGGAGAGACAAGGAAGCAGTCCAAGAGTCCAACACAAGACCCAGCCAAGTCCAAACCGGGATGGAACCAGACGGGACTTTCCCAGGACACCAGGAACCTGAACTCGGTGAACTGGGAAAGAACTATCCCTCCAGTGAGCAGACAAGCCGACTGGCTGGGAGCCCACAACCATCACCCATCGAGGTGGGCTAAACCCAAAATCTAGTAGATGTAGATGGGCCACTACGAACCGAGCAATATGCAGAAAATGCAAGGTGCCAGAGACCAGCCAAAGGAAAGACAAGGAAGACGAGAAACAGGACGCCCCACCACGAACATAACCAGTCTTTGAACCCCAGAGGAAGCAGGTTTATGCCAACACGCTGCCTGCTGGGCCAGAGACACCACCCAAAAACCTGGCCCTAAAAGAAGCCAGATTTGGGACAGTAAATCATCCAGAAGGAAGCCAGTGGTACAGACTGAACAAAACCAGAATGAACCAAAGAACTGCACAGACCCGTTGCAGGACCGAAACAAGATGACCTGACGGAGCGAAGTGGAAAAAGCATACCCCTTGAGCCCCGAACACCCCAAAGGAGAAGTTGGGTGGCTTGCCCAACACCACCATATGCCGGAGGACATGACCAGAACTGCCCACAAATGCAGATGATGAGTCACAATAACGTGGTTGAAATATGTTGACTAAACCACACACTAGAAAGTGAAGGGACGAAGACGTTTCAGTCCGTCCTGGATCATTCTCAAGTTGATGAGAATGCCCACAAATCATGGGACCAAGCGTGGCAATCTGAGCCAGCCACACCCCCAGCACCCTTGCCACGGGGCAACCCATGAACCATACCAAACTGAAGAAAATGAGCTATCAGGGATAAACCTTAGTATGCCTATACCCAATTGCTAGTGAATTACAGGAATAAATCTTAAATAATGGTAGCGAATGGCATGAGCATCTAAGACCTGTGTGGACTTACTAGGAACTAAAGTTCCCTGGATCTCCAAGTTGCCATGAGAGGAGGCAGATGAAAATTTGCCATAACTACTGCACTGCACAGAGCACCTTAAAGCACCCAATCGTGGGTGTGCAGAGCACCATATGGTTCTTTTAGGTATAGGGAGTGATTCATAACTCCCGTGGGTACACTGGACTCGCATCCTGTGCCTTAGGATTTCAGTAAATAGACCCCACCTGGAAAAAAAATGGCTGCGAGAGCCTCAGTACCGAGAGAGCGACCAAGGCTGGCGCATACAGGAGCAGCTGACAGTACTGCTATGCAGCTAGGAACCACAGCACCACTTAGTAATTATGAGTAAAATAGGTAATTGAAATTAATTTGTGCTGAGTATCAAAGATGATCCTGAATGTGATAAAGACTATGTACAATGTACATATATCAGCAAATACAATGCTAGTTATGATATTCACAGCATGAGGTATAGACAGCACCCAGCCATTGTTTCCTGCATCTACACCTCATGAACGATCTTATGTTCCTTCACAGTATAACCGTTGAAATGGATTCATATTCAGGATTTTTGTGACAGGAATGTGATAACAGCAGTTATGTAGCTAGTCATAGTGAGATGTGTAGAATATTGGAGTCATACTTGTCTTGCATCATGTGATTGCTGGTGTTGTCTGCTTGTGGCTCCATGCTGCATTTTGATTTCATCGCCATACCCACCAGAACTGCTTATTAGTTTGTTATGGTGCATATAAATGTTGACAGTGTAATAACAGCAAGAACACCATTTGATTGATCTAAGAACATAATATACATGTCACCGTATATGAGCCCAATATTTTTTAGAATGGTGATGCTCCACACATTTAATTACAAAAATTACACAAATTACATGCTATTGAATAATATTACTGCAAAAAACTAGATTAAAACCATTCACAGACGCTGAAATAATTATGTAAAGATGTATTTGGGGCAGCCCCTGCCACACACCGTTCTCGGTCGCTAGGCTGACCTTTGATTCTTGTTCTGTGTATATAAACTCAACACACGATCTTTGTGGTTCATTATGGTGCACAAAAATTCTGATAGTTATATGCATGGGTATATAGTGTAATGACAGCAAACACACTTTGATTGATCTCAGAATATAATATACATGACAACCATAACACACACAAATCACAATAGCGTGATGCATCAAATGAACAAATCCACAAGGGCCGTGATGAGGATTCGAACCTACGTCCGAGATCATTCCAGACGCTGCCTTTATCTATTGTAATGAAGTAAGGGCAAAGAGGGAAAACGGCCTATTGACATAGCTCGAGTGCATGGGGGAGTTGTGTAAAACCCTGGTTTGTGTCTCGGAGAGGCTGCAGGATCCAGTAAGTTCAGTAGAACTTCGGTTTCAACTCTTTTGACCATGTCGTAGCTCCGTCGATAAAGGCAGCGTCTGGGATGATCTCGGACGTAGGTTCGAATCCTCGTCACGACCCTTGTGGATTTGTTCATGTCACCATATATGAGCTCCCTAATTTTGAGCATAGCAATGTTCCATACATTGAATTATATAAATTCCACCAATTGCACCCTTTTGAATAATAATAATACAGCAAAAAAACAGAAGAAACGAATGAGAGACATTGAAATAATTATGAAAACTGGCGGAAACTGCCGCCCCACAGAGTGGTGGGGTCCAGAGTCCCCAAGTGCCTATTCACTCGGCACCCATATATTTCTCCACTTCTCAACTCCATCCTGTTTAAAGTGTGTAACTGCACTTTGGTAATTACCACAGTGTAAGGAACAGCCACCGAGGGCCTTTCCCAGTGAGGTGGCATGAATAAATGTTACTGCTCCCTGCATCTCTGTGAGGAGGTAGTTCTGATTCTGATCCCATGTAGACCACTAGAACTCTGTGGCTAATGTGACCCAGTAGATGGTAACCACATAGCTTCACGTTACTACAGAGGGCTCCCTAAAAACTCAATACTGCACTGTATTTACGTTTCAAAGAGTTTGTAGGTCTTGGCAAATTCTTCGGTGTATGCCTTGGTTATCCCGGCAAACATCCTCTTCACCCGGGGGTAGAAATCCTTGATGTTAACAAAAGGCTCATTTTCTTCATATATTTGAAGCAGAGCCTTGTAAATATTTCCACTGTGCAGAAGCACCACACTGCCTGATGAAAAAAAAGAGTACAGACATTAATTTAGTAAAGTACATGGTAAATATACTTGAATTTATCTGAGGGCCAGTAGCACTATGTAATTACCTAAGTGTACCTAAAGTGTAGTTACAGATATAACGCTTTGAAACTACTGACGGTTTTGGCCTCCACCACCACCTCACCTTGGAGAAGTTTTGGAGGAATTTAGGGGGAGATACATGAAATGAGGATTACAATTAACAACCTGCAAAGTGAGCTGACATCAGCAAGAGAGGAGATCAAATCCCTCAGAGAAAAATAGAGGCTGAGCATCAGATTATCATCCAAAGGGAAGGTGGGTATGTAGCATTGGAAGGAAATGCCTCTGTACCTAAAACATATGCAGAAATACTGAGAAAGAGCTCAGATGCAATGGACACAGTGAGGGAGGTAGCCATGCAAGCAGCTACCTCACAGGAAACAGCAAGGTGCACCAGTCAGCTGCTGGAAAGAAAAAGATCAGTGGTAGTTGTAGGCATCAAAGAACGGGAAGGATCCAATAGGCAGGAATGGAATAGCAAGGACAGAGAGGCAGTACATGGGATACTGAAGGGGTTACAGATGGAAGGGGCTGAACAAAACATTGAGAAGGTTTTCAGGTTGGGCTGGTACAACAAGGACAGAAACCGACTGGTAAAGGTGGTGTTTACAAACAAGTCCATGAAGGTTATTCTAGAAAGGAAGAGTCATCTGCAGTATGTGGAGGAATACAAAAAAGTATTCCTGCAGAGGGACAGGACGAAGGAGGAGAGAGCCAGGGCAGCAGAGGCAAGGAGGAAGTGCAGGGAGAGAGGAGTAAACCAGGAAATTGCAGCCCCCAACACAACAGTCCCAGAGACAAGAGGGGGAGCCCACAACCAGCATCCCAGCAATACCAGAGGCGAGGGCAACACCACCACCCCCCTCTGCATAGAAACCCTCCCTTCCCCTCACCCTACCTGCCCCCACCCAAATGCTCACCCCCCCCTCCCCCCCTCCCCACCCCATTCTGACCCTGTCACCCCTCCCCCATTTCCACAATGTCCCCCCCTCCCAACTTTCCCCCCCCCCTGTCCCCCCTCCCCATCCCTCCTCACCCCATATCCTCCATGTCCCCCCCTATTTCCTTACCCCACACCCTACCTGTCCCCCCCTTCCCTTGAACCCCCACCCCAAAATCCTCTGAGACCCTTCACACCACCTCACAGATCTTCTCACTCAGGGAACAGCTTTCCCCACCAGCAGAATGCTCCCCACGAAGGGGACAAGAAAATGAACAGAAGAAAGTGAGCTTCAGGGTAATGTACACTAACATAGATGGGATTACAAATAAAACAAGTGAACTCTGAGAACGGGCACTAGAAGAAAACCCAGACATAATACCACTCACAGAAACAGAGCTAACGAAAACCATAACAAACGCAATGTTTCCACAGGGCTACTATGTAGTGAGGAAAGAGAAAGGAGAGGTGGTGGTGGTGTAGCTTTGCTGATAAGAAAAGGTTGGAGTTTTGAAGAGATGGTAAATCAGAACTGTGAAGGTTTCAGTGACTACATATCAGGCACCATAGCAACTGAAGGACAGAAAATTATAGTAGTAGTCATGGCCACCATCAAACAACATGGCCACCATCAATATAATAGAGAGAGCAGATTCTGTGGCTAGCAGGAACGGATCCAGACTACTAATCATGAGAGACTTCAACCATGGGAAGATAGATTGGGGGAACAGACACCCACATGGAGAGCTAAGCTGCTGGACGTGGCAACAAGAATCTTTCCAAATCAACACGTCAAGGGACCGACAAGAATGAGAGGAGAGGATGAACCAGCTTTGCTTGATCTGATATTTACTCTAAATGAGTCGGATATAAGGGAAGTTAAGTTGGAATCCCCCTTGGGAATGAGTGATCATAGTGTATTGAGCTTTGAGTACCTGGTTGAGCTAGGTACTCTATCTCCCCCAAAAAATTACTGGGAAACAAAGGGCGGGCATACCGAAAGGGAAACTATGAGATGAATAAATTCCTAAGGGAATCCCCCTTGGGAATGAGTGATCATAGTGTATTGAGCTTTGAGTACCTGGTTGAGCTAGGTATGAATAAATTCCTAAGGGATATACAATGGGACACAGAATTCAGAACCAAGTCCATACAAGACATGATGGACTGTCATCCAAAAGTGTCAGGAGGCTGTAAGCAGGTTTATCCCTGCCTGACAGGAAAAAACCGAGAGCAAAAGAAGAATCCGTGGTTTAATAGGGAATGTATGAAAGCAAAGGAGCTGAACAAAAGGGCATGGAGGAACTTCCGTAATAACAGAACACCAGAAAGTAGAGAGATACGAGAGAACCAGGAACGAGTATGTTAGTGTGAAAAGAGCAGCTGAGAAAAGGTATGAAAATGATATAGCTAATTAAGCCAAGACCGAACCAAAGCTACTACACAGTCACATCAGGAGGAAGACAACAGTGAAGGAACAAGTGATGAAACTTTGGACAGGTGAAGACAGATACAGAGAGAATGACAGAGGTGTGTGAAGAACTCAACAAAAGGTTCCAGGAGGTCTTTACAATAGAACAAGAAGAGGTCACAGCGCTAGGAAAGGTGGCAGCAAACCAGGCGACCTTGGAAGGGTTCGAAATTACAAGAGATGAGGTCAAGAAGCTCCTCTTGGAGCTGGACGTGAGAAAAGCTTTCGGGCCGGACGGAATCTCACCATGGGTATTGAAAGAGTGTGCAGGAACACTTTGTTTGCCACTCTCCATAGTGTATAGTAGGTCACTGGAAACTGGAGACCTACCAGAAATATGGAAGATGGCTAATGTAGTCCCAATATACAAAAAGGGTTACAGACTAGAGGCACTGAACTACAGGCCAGTGTCCTTAACTTGTATACCATGCAAGGTGATAGAGAAGATCGTGAGAAAAAAACTAGTAACACATCTGGAGAGAAGGGACTTCGTGACAACCCATCAACATGGGTTCAGGGAGGGTAAATCTTGCCTTACAGGCATAAGGGGCTATGTTACAGGAACTATGAGAGTTGTTGTAGGGTATTCATAATTTATTATCCTGATACATGTGAAAGGTGCTGCAACTAGGCCAAGTTTCAGCATCTCAGCCTAAATAGAGGAGAAAAAAAAAAAAAAAAAAATTTCAACAATGTTCAATTGCTTTCACAGCCCACAATTGTGAACCAAAATCATTTCTATGACACTCGGCTATGACCTTACTATATAATAAAGATTTGCACCAAGGATTTTTATCAGAGATGTATTTAGTGCAATAATACAGATTTTTAAAGTTTCCCAAAAACGTATGCAACAAAATGAAGTTTATCATTATTTATAAAATCAATAAATCTACGTAGATAAGAAAAACTACATGTTTTTTTAGAGGCATAAACTACATATAATGTGCAAGTTTCATGTAAATTGAATAATAAATAAAGGCTGTGAAGGCAGATCTAGTTGTGGCGTAGCCGGCCGCGACAAGTTACTCTACTCGCGGCTGAGAGGCCGCCACAATCTTCACTCGTGACAATGCGTGATTTACGCATTGCGGCCAGCTCGTACCTTCTATGGAGAGCTCGCATGCATCTAGCTTTCAATGCTTTTCTTTTGTTCGTTTGGTACGTCATATTGCAGTACAAATAGCAAAAATAGCATGAGTTCTGGGAGATATTGTGAGAGCGCGTCAACGATACATCCACTTGCTGAGGGACACAGTGACTGACTGCTAAGCCACGAACCCCATCCTCTCCCTAACACGAGACTGTTGCCAATGAGTGAGTTTATATTCGTTTTATGCATAACATGTTATTTTCAACGCCATTACGAAATTTTAGACTTCTACAACGTAAGACACAATACCCCGCGGCGCACCCAGGCCGCGAGGACCGGATTCACGAAAGTTGCAGCGGGAAATTTGACTAATTACGTTATTTTTCAAGATAACATAAAACGGTTTGCACCACAGTGTTGCCAGAACGTTGTAGTATTTTTCGTAATTTTTCGTAAATATTCCATTTTTCTTCGGATTTTCGGGTCCTTGGCCCTTAACCCCTCCGTGGTGCCTCCTTGCCGTGGTGAGGGGCTCACGTGCACCTCCCTGGGACAGGTGTGGGTTGCCTGTGCCCCCTCTCCTGCCCCCCTACCCCTTTGGGTGGTGTACGTGCTGAAGGGCACCATGTAGGGGCCTTGTGAGCCATCAGACTACCCGCTGGAGGGGTTGCCTGTGAGAGATTGCCCGAGTGGATGGTTGGGTGTCCAGGCTAGGGCAATAGGGGGACTGGGGTCTTAGCACCAGTGTGGGAGAATGAACGAAGTAGTAGGACTCCCCTGTTGAAAAGGGGGAGCACCGCTGGGGAGACACACCCTTCCTGCACTGGCCCGCGCTCGGCCTCCCTGGCTGCCCTGGTAGGTGGTATCCCTTGGTTCCGGGTCCCATCCCTTATATATTGGTTTGCTATATGGATGACGACTTGGCTCCTCTTCACCAGGCTCATGGGTTGGGCGACCAGGCCTCTGAGTCGGACCGTCCTGGAAGACCGGGATCTGTAGCCTCCGCTACAGGGCCCGGTTTAGGCCCAGACCGGATTCTTCCTCCCTGCTCCTCTCCCTCCTCTGTGGTTGGGTCGAGCCCCAAGCCTGCTGTGGTGACTGTCTCGTCCCCTTGCACGGCTCCATCTCTTCTTGTGACTACTGCACCTTTCGACCCGTCTCTCTCTACGGGTTCTCATCGCCGTTCCCGCCACGGCCGCTCTCGTATGCTCCCTTCCCATCCTCCTTCGTTCCATGCTTTGTTTGGTCCTGTTACATGGACTAAGTACTTTGACCTCCAATCTTTGGATTCAACTGACGATTTTTCCCTTCATGGCATCTTGTCGATTCCGTAGATGCCTCTGTCACCTTCAACCCCATTCGTCTTGGTACCTGTGTTGTTGCTGCTGCTCCTCAGGATGCGGTACCGGGTACCCGGGCCCTTTCCGGGCCTGTACCCGGGCCCTTTCCGGGCCTGTACCCGGGCCCTTTCCGGGCCTGTACCCGGGCCCTTTCCGGGCCTGTACCCGGGCCCTTTCCGGGCCTGTACCCGGGCCCTTTCCGG